AAATTTACATGAAATAATTTGTAGATATAGTAAATATATATACATATATATATATATATATATATATATATTTAAATAAATCCTATGTAAGTTACTTGATGCTATATATCAACTTTAGAAAACAACACATTGCATTTTTATTTTATTTTTATAAATCATTGTTTGTTTTGCATCATGATCTGGAAGAACATTCCTTTTTGTAAATTATGTATCATGATTATTGAAGTGGCATAATTTTGAAAATTATGACTTAAGAAAAATACAGTAAACATATTTCAAGTATGATTATTTTTAGAACGCCAGGTGATGCCTTAGATTATCTGCGATAATTATGTTACAAATTCAAAAGTACGAAAACATAAATGCCTTTGAAAACAGAGACTCCTAACAAATACTTCAGGTTCAAATGGCAATACAATTTAAATATACAGTAATGACCTTAATGCCCAGCTTCTCTTTAAGGAATACACATCAGCTTGTGCTTTTCATACCCAAGTTTTTTTGCAAAAAAAAAAAAAAAAAACATACTGTAGTTGTTTTAGTCAAAAACAATAAAAAGACTGTCAGCTACTACCACACCAAATTTAAGCTCAGTATCATAAAATGTGCTGAAGTATTGGCAACTTTGTGTTTTCTTAAATGCACTGTTGTGTGAAACATCTGTAACAGGATTGTGATTACTCAGAACAGACAAATAATTATACACACACACACACATATGCAGATTAGCATAAATATAATTTCTTTGCCTTTGATAGTGGGCTCTGATAGTAGCCCAACTAATCATGTAAGACTGTAACAAGCTGTCTTTCTGTTCCTAAGTTGGACTAGTGTTTCTGCAATGATATGATCATACAGTGAAATTAACTTTTGACCTACTGCAATATTTAACCATTTCCTCCAATCACCCTTTGGAAATTACTGCAAAAATGTGTCATATTTAGCCAAAGAGTTTCCATTAAAATCCAGTCATTTTTCCATTAATTTGAAGAAATTCCCTAAATTGTTACTTTTATGAGAATGATATAAGCAAACCATAAAACCAAATTTGTATGAATCCCAACTGTCACAGAGTATCGAGGATGAAATACATATATGTTTGCTGTAACATGTGCAAGCTAAAAGCATGGTGTGTTTCATACATAAGAGCAGCCCTGTAGCCTCGCACAGCTAAAGGTTGCTCCCTGCAGGATGTTAGCTCTCTTGGATTCCCTCCTGTACTGCATTGTCATCCAGATCAATGCGTTCTTTCACATTATTTCACAGGGTACATAGTGTTTTCAGCAGACACCAGACGCACACAGCAGACTTTGATAACAGCAGTCAGCCAAAAACAACCAACTTTGACTTCACAACTTTGACTAATCTCTGGGGAATGTTTCAGTGACAGACTTTCAAAGTGCTGATGTTCTCTGGTGGTCTGCCTCATAAGAGCCGCATTTTCTGTCTCCAAAGAAAATCCCTTGAGATCAATCTGTAACTAACAGCAAAAACATTACAAATATTTGAGCTTAAAATAGCAGAAAAACAGTCTGCGGACATGTAATGCACAGGGAAGCGATAAAAACAAGGTTTATGTAGGACATATAGAATTGTAACTTCAAAAGGACCTTAACGAATTAGGACAGTGTTAGTTTAAAAATAATTATGTTGCAAATTCTTGTTAGATTCATGCAAACGATGAGGATGTACAAAAAGAAATAAAAAGCTCACCCCTAAATAGGCATTTCTTTCTTTGATGGAGGTTGTTAGTAGGATTTTTACTGGTGAAATAAACATGAATTTATACGAAGCGCTACGTAAAGTTAATTTAAAAATAGACTTAAGTCTAAGTCATAAATGTGTCAGACTTTTTTATGAAACCTCATGCTGTAACACACTGTGTGTGCAGAACCGATGTGCTGTTCATTTAAATCTAACTGTGACAATATATTCAGATTGATGTACTGTGCTGCATGAAGATCACTGTTACCACAATGAATCTTCTTTTGCAAAAAAATATTTGCTTGTCAGAAGTTGGAAAAAGCCACAGTTTATTACTCTTGATTTCGCTTCACATAGAGGCAAATTGAAGCCTTTTAGAGAACAAAAATGTTGTCCTTTCTTTACTTTGTGGCACACGGTGGTCACTGCCTAGACGATCCAGGCCAAAAAACACTAACTGCTGGCTTTGATAAGAGGAGGAATTCTGATCCTATCGCAGAACATTCTGTCAAGGCGAACATTAAATGAGCACTTTCAAATCCCACATGCATGGGCTCTGAAAGTATACCCCCCCCCACCCCGCCGAGAAAATAATAATAATGATGCACAATTGTGTTTGGCAAGAGTTTGCATACCTGCAGTATGTGTGCCGTTAATCTATTTAGTGCTGTAAAAAAGAAGTGGAAGGAATGAGGAGAGAAAAGGTTGGGGCTGAGTGGGGAAGTGGGGTATGTGTCTGTACACAGGCATCTGTGTTAGATGAAAAGGACTTTTGAGCTGTACTAATTGACGTGGGTTTGATGTGTTTTGCGTGGAGTGCACCAAACATATTTTTCAACAGATCCATCTCATACAAGCAGGATTGTGTTAAAATAATGACATTGTTTCACCCTTATTAGAAAATTCGGCTCATTACCAAGTAGAGTGTGTTCTGACAAGTCGTACAATGTTTGCAGGATCTAGTTACAAACATAGTTTTTACTTTTGTTGAGGATTGCGTCATGGTTTTTTGTCTGACAAGATGCTCCTGTTATTAATTAGGGAGTTTAAATTCTTCAAACGTTTATTCTAATAGCAAATGTTTTAAAGGCAAAAGGACAGCAAAAGAAGTCTTTGAAGCACTTGAATAAAGATCACAATCTCGTTGTCCACATGTTGCACAAGTTAAAAAAGTCTCTGACAGGAAAATGTGTTGTACAGTGCATTCAAATGCCTTTGCAGATCGTAATGTTGACTCTGGAAACCTTATGGAGCCTTGGCTGCTGCAGGCCTAGAAACATCGCTAGCACTAGGGCCATGTGGAACGTCTCCTGTTTAAAAAAGTTTGAGTTCTTTCACAGCCCATTGTAAGCAACCAGGCAAATAGAAGCTTGGAGTTGTGCAGTGCACAGGCACTTCTTTCTAATAGGCAGAGAGCAATGCTTTGTCTAGTGACAGGACAACCCGTGGACCTGCAAGAAGTCAGGATTTTTTTTCATAGTACTATTAGACAGTTGCACCATCAGTGGGTCTTCTGAAGCCTACTTTTACTCTCCTGGGTGCGATTGCTTCCGAATGAAGATTCAAGATTCTCTATTGCTGGCAACAAAGAGCTGCAGATGCACTCAACCACTGGTCTTCTTTGCAACCTTGCATCTGTCTCAACACGCACGTCAAAACTGTACCCACAGGACAAGGATACACATGTTTTGTTGACATAGATACAAGTGTTTTGAGTTTAAACTGCTGCTCAACTGGAAGTTTTTGTTGTTGTTTTGTTTCATTTAAGGTGAGCTGCTGTATCTTTGTAGCCAGTATGTTGTCTGTTGTTGTGTCATGTGTGGTACTCAGTCTGCTGGGCTTGGGAGATGCTCAGATTGCCACACAAACTCAGGGGAACAGCCAGAATCCAGGTCAGGAGCAAGACAGTGCTGCTGCCCCTTGGAGACAGGTGATACAGTGGGAAAACAATGGCCAAGTGTTTAGCCTGCTGAACAGTGGAGCTGAATTTGTTCCTGCCGGAGCTGGAGATCAAGACAGAGGTCCTAGGGTGGTTTTGGCAGATGCTCATCCAAGATCTTCACACAGACGAAACGGAGGCAATGTACGCAGACAGGCTCCATCAAGGGCATCATCAGAAACTGTTCGTGGGCAGACAAGACATCCTTTTGGCTTTGGACAAGTGCCTGATAACTGGAGACAAACTACAGGCAGCACAGGAAGTAACCCATTCCAGGGTTCTTCAACCAGTCACCTTCGTCCACCATCTTCTTCATCTTTTTCCTCATCTTCATATAATGTACCAGTTTACCCACAGTATCCATTTCCCCAACAGCCTCCGTTCCAGTCTTTTGACCCTAGTTTTCCAGATGGACCAGTCAGAAGCTACGAGCCACCCTTTCAGCCTGTTGCAGGTGCAGGATACGGTGGTGGAGGATATGGGACTGGACAGGGGAATCCTGCAGGTGGATATACTGGAGGTTTGGGTCCCGTGCTCCCAGGTTCTCCATCTGACTTCAATGAAAATGGCTACTATTACTATCAGTCCTATAGCTTTGGGCCTAATCCTGTGGTTCCGCAACAAGCTGCCCAACCACCTTTTACAGATGGTCTAGACCACCGATACAGCCACAGTCTCTACAATGAAGAATCTTCTCCTGCCAATCCTGTCCCTGATGCCAACCAGGCCCTTCCTGTTGCAGTGGACAGAACAGGACCTGCTGGTTTACCACAAGTCAGAAGTCCACAGTATGAGCAGTTTCCTCCATTTGGAAGAATCCAACCTTCTATTCTGCAACCTATTCCTCGTAGAAGAAATTCCCAAAATTCTGCACCTGAGAACCCCAGCACTAATGTTGGCAATGTGTACCGACAACAACAAAGAGGTGCAGTATGGTTTGTTCAAGTCATGTATGAACTAACACATTGTTTTATCCAGTAAACATTTTATTGATATGACACAACAGTGGTGCCACAATAAATACAACTCTTTTATCACATTCATTTTTAATTTTAATGAACTCTGGAATTATTTTGTTTAACATATAATTTGTAGAAAAAAATTAACCATTTTTTACACATTTGCTGGGGATATATCTATTTCTGGGGCGCAACAATGAAACACTTGACATTTGATCACTGTTGTTACTGCACATAATAGTTTAAAATATGCAAAACCCATTGGGGAAAGCACACTGCACCCACCTCCATTGTTTATTATACAGACATATTTTTCCTGATGTTCTTATTCAGTGTTTATTAGAATTCTGATGTAATCTAAAAGAAACAAGTAGATAAAGACCTATTTAGTAACAACTATAAGAAAGCAGATGTGAGGTTCATCTTGTCCACTAGGGTAGTTATTGGAACCAGGTGTTGAGCAAAGCCTGCACACACAAGAACCACTGTGCCGTTTTGAGGGGGGTGTTCAGAGCTACGAGAAAGTTGACTGGTGCATGAGGCGTGTAGATTTTAGTAATGGTGGTGGTGACCTCATAGGAGGACTGAAGTCAAAGGGTGTTGGTTGTATACCTCCTGGACAGGGGAGAAAGGAACAAGTGAGGGAGAAACAGTACTTGCACACTCAAAGGAGTGAGAGTGTGGAAAGTCCCTATAACACATGGGTTCATTGCTTCAGCTACAGGAAATCAAACAAATATTTAGTCAGACTTCTTGGGCAGGTGGGGGGGGGGGGGGGTCATGAAAGCCTGTAGTACACTATTTTACAATGCTTTATTTGGGCATGGCAGGCAGTTTTCTTATACTGTATGTATAAGAAGAGGTGGAAAGAGTACTGAAAATTTGTATTCAAGTACAAGTACTGTTACACTGCTTAAATTGTACTCAATTACAAGTAAAAGTACTGGTGATATAAAAATACTAAATAAAAGTACAAAGTACTCTTTTTAAAAACTACTCAGAGTATTAATTACTTTTTAACCAAATGATGTTTCATTGTGTTGTCAATAGAAGATATTCAGTTTGATTTACTGTATATAACGGCTACATTCAAAGAACATTTCTCAGACGCTCAGAAGCTCCGTCTTATTTTAGTACCAGGCAAACTGATGGCAGTAAAAATATCTAAGATCTATGCATACCTAGCCAAACTAATCACCCACACATACAAACAATAAAACAGCAATATCATACAGGCAGTTGTAAAACCTCATATACTGGCAATATGTTTTTTGAGATTAGATGCTGAAGTCTTGTAAGCTGCTATCACCATAGAGATCAAACAAAGTTTGCATCTGGACTCTGTCTCCTTTTCGCCCTCTGTACATGAAACATTCCTCCAGGTACGGCCATGGGCACTTGTCCTCAGCCTTTACCTCATCATTTTTTTTCTGTTGACAGCTTGTCCTCCTTCTCCATTTTGGCTTTTTTTTTCTTCCATATCTTTGGTCCATAAATGACTCTCTACTCTATGGAGTTGTCCTTTGCTTATGTCATAGGTAATTGGTGCATTCGTGATCCGAGAGCCTTATTGGCTACAAAGATGCAGATTAACCGTTTGAATATTAATTCAAATTGTGGCCGTACTCAATGGCGACTTCTGATTTTAAAAGTAGCCAAATAGATTACATGGTCTAAATTGTACTTAAGTATGAGTAAAATTACACACTTGAAAGAAATACTCATAGAAGTAAAGTACCCAAAAAAATCAACTTAATTACAGTAATGTATTTGTAATGTGTTACTTCCACCCCTGTGTATAAGCATCCAATCACTTTCATTTTCATCACTGTTGCTGTGCAAGTGTCGACTAGAGTTTCCATAAAAGAAGTGAAGATTTAAAAAAAAAGAAGAAAGATTAGAGATTTAAAAAAAAGAACAGCATGTGGGTCTAAGTTCTGAGAGCTGGAGGCTATGTATTTTCCAAGTGGAGAGGATATTGGGACCTCCAATGAGATTCTCAGGGTTTTTAATGCAGTTTTATCATTTTTGTTTCACACTATAATCTGTTTTACTGCACAGCAGCCTCTCTAGTGCACTGTGTGCTTTCCAACCATGGTTCATTAGACTCTTTAGAGCTGTGAGCCATTTCTACCATGCAGCACAAAAAGCCATCCTGTGCACAAATGCCTTGCTGCTCTCAGTAATCACTGCATATAGATTCTGCCATTAAGAGCTGTTGAAAGGCAGACATTTTTATTGTGCTGCTTCACAGTACGACATTAGGCTTTTATAATACAGTTGTTGTGATCTATATGGTTACAATTTTGTTAAAAATGATGTTAAGGAGACAGTTGTGTTTTGTGTCTTTTTATTTTTAAATGCTGTGGTGTGTTTAGAATGTGTAAAAAACAAAAAAACACTGAATGCTCAGGATGAACATTTTACTAAAATCAAGATAAAGTAGGTTAAGTTTTTGGAGTTATGAAGAACAAAGCTAACTGAAATAACATTGAGTTTTGAAGTGCTACATTTATCAGAACAATTGTTTTGACTGGCAGGTGAATTGGCTTCTACTCAGTGAATGGCTTCAGTGTCCTCAAGCTCTCAAACAAAGCTTTTCATTCCATATTACCTATGACTACCAAATATTCCAAAATTGTGGCAAACTCGTGGCTTCAATTTTTTTCAAAATTTGATTCTAAAATAACACTTGTGGCTTTTTTTGTCAATTTATATGTAATTCCTATACAATTGCTGAGTAAGGATGGTGTAAATTATTTATGCTTAAACTTTAAAACTGTTTATTTGATTTCAGGTAATTTAATTTATAAGCAACAATTTCTCTATAGCTGTATTTAGAGAGGGAGTTTTTCTATTATGCCAAGTAAGACAGAAAATTCTTGGCAAAATTCACTTTTTTTTTGTCCTCCCTGCCCCACTTACGGTGTAACGAGTGGCTTTGTCACTTGCCACTGAGAACTGATCAGCTTTGGGCTTCTCAATACATTTTATCCGCCTGAAAGAGACCCACTTTCTCATTTCAGAAGATTAGAGGGCAGAGAATAAAGCCGTCTGAAGGTAAGGGGGGAAGAAATGGATTGAGAGTGATGCCTCTGTGTTTCACACTGGTTTAAAGTGTTTACATGGTCTGTGCCGCACCCCCTGTCCTGTACATCTGCCTCAGATAGACATGTGAGATGGACTGTTTACACAGTGCCCACAAAAGAAAAGTCATATTTAAACTAGCTGCTGTGAAAGGAAGACTCACCTAGGTGGTAACTGTCAGAGACATGTAAAAGGTTTCCTTTCTGGTTTCCAAAAACAGTATTAAAAAGTATATTTATTATTTTAAAATTGCCAAATTTACAGGTCAGATGGATTGAATAAATTCACATAAAACTGTGTCTGGCCTCTCATGTACAAGAAAGGGGCGATGAGCCATGTCAGCTATAATGGTCTGGCCATGTGTGGAACTGTTCAATAAATATGGACATTAACACTGATAAGACTCTTAAAAAGTGTGTACTCACTTGTTTTCTGAAAATAAAATGTTAAAAAATAATGCTACATCGCAACAGTCCCATGTGTGATGTGGCTGCGCATGTACAAAATGAGCTTATATACACCGTGTCATTTTATTATACAAGAAGCAACGCGACAATGTCAAGTGCAGATTTGTACAATGGAAAGTCACATTGCTTTGACATTAACCTTATTACCACAGTGGTTCAATTGTGTTTATTGGATTTTTTTTTTTCCCCAAGTGAAAAATGTAACTAAAAGCCTCATGCTCTTTTCCTCTATCAACACAGATATTTTAAATGACCCAAAGCGTCTTATTAAAAAGTGATGATAAAATCATGAAATGCACAGTAATCAATCAGTGTCCAGCAGTCTGTCCCAGACTTGAAATGTGGGCTTTGTTGCTGAATTGTAGCCCTTCACATTCTCCATCATCATCAGTATATTTTACAGATAGCAACAAATGATGACAAAATATGTGAACAAGCAAACCAACATTGCTGACTTTGGAAGACCTTCAGTGTTACAATATGGGGTACATTTAGTGCATAGTTTACTTTTTTCCCGTTCTCTTTTCTAAAGGATATCTCTGAGAAGAGTAATGCATTGTTGGATGAGCATGCTTTCCATAGTTTCTTATTTATTTATTTATTTATTACAGGTTTGCCTGATCTGGTTCCTGATCCTAACTATGTCCAGGCTTCCACGTATATCCAGAGAGCTCACATGTACTCTCTTCGCTGTGCTGCAGAGGAAAAATGTCTGTCAAGGTAAGCCAAAGTCTGAAAGTCCTTTCCTATTTGTTGATAAAATATACCCTTCTACAATGGTTATTATTTATCAAAACTTTTTTTTTTTTAATCGTTAAATCCTTTCCTTATTCGACATGATTTAGGTTTTGTGTCAAACGGAAGGTTAAGCTGTATTAGTTTCAAAGAATATGGTTTGAGTCTTACATTTTACACCAACATTTTATAGGATGAAGTGAAATGATGGTGAAACTTTAGTGAAAGTGGACACAAATTCTGCATTTTTTGTGTTTTGTCCAGCATGATTTTGTTTTATGTATAGATGAAAGACATCAAAACTCTCAAGGACTACAAAGGTCTTGTAAACTATTTTCTGCATTTGTTAATATCTGTAAAAAGGTGTTCTTTGCTTGAAATCACATGGCAGTAACAGATAAATGTAGCCCTATTCATGGTAGAGGGATGTAAGGGTTGTACACTTTGGAATTTGGCTTATAAATCAACTTTCTTTTACACAGAACTAAAGTTATTTTGAGCCTTTAAACATTTGGGCAGCAGTGAAACAGGAGTGAATTGTTCACAGTTATCCTTCAAGCCTGATCCATTCAATAATATCAAAGGAAATTTTGAGAAAAGTTGCCTAACGGCATAACTTTAGTGAACTGAATCCTGGTCACTTCAGTGATGAAGGCTGTCCTTTCTTTCATTTCTCTGTGTTGGTGGAAACCCCTCCCCTAAGCTTCAGGCCAGGGTCCTTTGACTGCCTCTACACTGAGGACACCACTGAAATGATGGAAGTGTGTTGTCCCTGTGGGGGCTCTATTTGCCCTCTTCCCATCAGAGGCATACCCATCCCTCAAAGCCCTTTTATATCCTGCCTGAGTTTGCTGCAATCACCCACAGATGGGCTGTTGTAATTTTGCCATACACTCCAATGTCAACAACAGTCACAAGATGAATGGCTTACATCTTCAGTGGTTGTGAACTCGAGGTTATGTCTCCTTTTCCTCTCAAAAAAGTGAATTATACAACAGAATGTGTACCTTATTCGGTTTTCTCTCCCCATGTTGATACAGTGTGTTTGGAGAGATGGCTATAGTCTGTGGAATGAATTATTTAGTATATGTGCTCCTGCCTCGTAGCCTTCCAGTTCTGTTGGGTTTTTTTTTTTGCCCTTTGTCTTGCTTATGAGAAACAGACGTACCAACATTCTTTAGGCAACAATTTGAACTTGTTCTTTGTTTTGTTTTCTTGCATCTGTCCATCATTCAGCTCTGCCTACAACCCTGAGACCACTGACTATGATGTAAGGGTCCTGCTGCGATTTCCACAAAGGGTGAAGAATAAGGGCACAGCCGACTTCATGCCTAACAGGCCACGTCATACCTGGGAATGGCACAGCTGTCATCAGTAAGTCCCTGAAACCTTTTAGAGGTAAAACAGACCAACTGGCTACATGTTCACTTCAATATTAGTAGTATGCAAGTTTGTTAACTTTTTTTTTTTTTTTTATCAAGCGCCAAAAAGGAAGGAAGGTGATTTTGGAATAGTCTTTGTCCTGGTGTGTGTATTTGATTGCCTATTAAAAAAACACTCCATCAACCCCTGAATAGGTTTTAATAAAATGTTCAAAATCTAATCATCTGTGAACTAACTGATCACACATAAAAGCATAAAAGCTTTGATTAAAACTTTGGCAATACGTGTTGTAGCCAGCACCCCCCCC